AAAGATGGGTCCATCTGCATCTGCCAAACAGACAGAGCAGAAAAAGAAGAAAAAATAAAAAAAGACCTATCATAAACCATTTTTCTTCTTCTTCGAGCACATCTCTTCATCATCCAATCATGCCCGCTTCTTATAAACAACATGCCAATCGTCGTCTCATCAACACATCTTGCATCCGCTCTCACCCTTCGACTATCATCAGTTCTATATACCGTTTTCTTTCTGCTTGAGAAAAGAAAAACATATCCGTTTTTTTTTTCTTCTTTTCTCGCTCTCGTCAACAGTTGGTTAATGGATCGTAGCGTTTGAAGTCAACCAACCAATCACGTCATGAATATAATATACGCGATGGCAAGAGAGAAAGAAAAAGAAATGAAGATGAGTTCTTTCTCTTTATAGTTAAGAAGAACTGCTTTTCTTCTTCTTGTTTCGAATAAACACAAGCAGAGGTCGAACAAATCTAAACACACTTATCCTGCCAGTGTATATGTATTTGCCGTTTGTCGAATTTGTAAACGACTCATTACTTATGTCTCGAATCTGTCAGGCTTAGTTTCTTTCTGATATTACTGTCTCATCATCAATTGCATAAACATTTTGTTTCAAAAATATACATATAGATTTATATATTGTCTCCTGTACTTTTCTCTTTCGTCATCATCATCATTATCATTATTATCACCATTATTATTATTATTATTTCTAGTAGTTGTAGTGTTAGTTGTAGTTGTTGTTGTTGATATTGTATATAACAAACGACTAAGATAAAACAAATTTGTATATACTTCTTTATGTTTATTAAAACTCTTATTGTAGAATAAACAACACGACAATAATTAAGATATATTTTAAGGTAGGTGATATTTTGTTATTGTTTTGTTTACTAGAAATAAGATATACTTAGAGATTTATTAATTTTTCTTCTAATTGATTATGTCAAATGAAAATTCTAACTATAAACATATAACAAATAAATGATGTAGATTTTAAAAGAATAACAAAAAACAATACAAAGATTGTTTTCATTATTTTTGTTTTATCTCTTATAGAATTTATTATAGTGTATGGTGATTATTGAGCAATCATCTTCAACAATTGACACTTGTCAAATGAATATTAAAATTGATACAGATAAACCAGTTACATTGTCGATTAATACGACTAATGAACATCATCATTTACATACAACATCAACACCAACATCTATTTATCATCCTCGAAATCCTTCAACAACTGGTCTAATGAATGTTAATAATACAAATCCAGGTCATTTTCATCATCATCATACACATTTATATAATACAACAAGTGGTTATAACTATACATCGACACCACCACAAGCACCACCATCATCAACTAATTATTATTCAATGCCACCAAATAATCTTTATAATGATCCATATTCTCAATGTTCAAACTATTGGAAAGCAAGAGCAGCAGCAGCAGCTGCTGCATCATCATCTGATCTTTCAAAAACCAACAATAATCATTCAAATCGCCTTTCATATCCTATTGATCATTCTCATACAACAAATATGCATTATATACCATCATCAATAGATTTATCATCTCAAATCGATATTAAATCTGAACATTCATCACCAATTAAAAATAATACTCAATTAACAATGTCAGGTGAAGATGATTCAAATGAAAGTCATCCAACAGGTACTGAAGATGGTAATGAAGATGATGATGATGATATGGATTTAAAAACACAAGACAAAGAAGAATCCAATAGTACATCAACAAATGCACCAAGAAAATCTAATCGTCGAGCTGAAAAACCACCATGCAAGTGTCATCTCTCTTTTGTTTTTTTTTGTTTCTATTATAATTAGATAGTTAATATGATATGTCATTTTTAGATTCGTATATTGCTTTGATTGTCATGGCTATAAATAGTACACCAACAAAAAAAATGACACTTTCTGAAATCTATGCATTTTTACAACAAAGTTTTCCATTTTTTCGTTCAACTTATATGGGATGGAAAAATTCTGTTCGACATAATTTAAGTCTTAATGAATGTTTTATTAAATTACCAAAAGCAATGGGTAACTATATAACAAAACAAAACAAAATGAAATAAAAATAAATTTTTTTTTCTATTAGGTCGAGCTGGTAAAGGACATTATTGGACCATTGCACCGGATTCAGATTGTATGTTTGATGATAACTGTATGCGTCGAAGACCTAGAGGTAATAATTATTAATTGAAAAAATTTTTATGTATATGTATGTATTTATTTATGTTTTCTCTTTTATTATATAGGATTTCGAAGAAAATTAGGAAAACAACCAGGATATCCTAATCTTTTAAGTCAATTAGATTCAACAGTTACAACAAATGCTAATGGTATTGCAACATCATCATCAACAACAATGGATCCAAGTACAGCTAATTCGTACAATCCAAATCCATCATCATCATCTCCTTCAACTTCAAGTGCTGGTATTGGAGCTACAAATTATTTTGATCTTAGTAATTATGCTGCATCATCATCAACAACAGCAGCAGCAGCCGCAGCAGTTAGTGGACATCATTCGTCAGATCTCTATGCAGCTGCAGCTCTCATGGCCTCATATTCTTCTAGTTATCCTCATCGTTCTCATTTTACAACAAATAATTCATCTTGTTCGTCGTCATCATCATCAACAACAAATACAAATGCTTTAACAACAAATGCAAGAATTACAGATGAGAGTGATTCAGGAACACATGTACATTTTACAAATAGTGTACATTATGCATCAGGTCCATCTCAATCAACTTATTTTTCTTATGGAAATCCACCAACTCATTCATCAACAAGTTCATCATTTGATCCACATAATCATTTTTATGCAAATCCATTTGCTGGATTTCTTGATCAAAAACATTCACTTTTGCCGGCAACATTATCTTGCTATGATCATCATCCATCGTCATCAAACTATTAATTTTTCTTTGTCTGTTTTTTTTTGTCTTTTTATTCATTTGCGTGTGTAATTCTTTTTTCTATCTTCTCTCTTCTTCGTCTTTTTTTTTTTGTTCTTTTAATGATCTCAAAGATCATTGGTGTTTGTTTTGTTTCCGGCAGGTGAATACTTTCACTGAAATATGATGATGTGCAATTGACTTATATCATTTTTATGAATAAGAGGAAAAGAGAATGAGAAATATTATATAGACATGTATAACAATTGTATGCTTTGTTGGTTGAATGCATCAATTGAAGAAATGGTTGGTTAGTTGCTTCCTTTCCTTATATTTCTCCTACTGTGAAATCTCGCCAATAGATCGACACCGTTAGATTGTTTGTCTCATCAGGAGACAGAAAAATGATGATATCAATCCATCAAAATTGATCGATAGACATCTGTTCCTAACAAAATACTTTGCATTTGTTATCCTAGTAGTACATGAAGAATAATGAAGATCTATGAGTATTCCTCAAATATAAATGATGTTATTGATGCTTAGACAAAATTTATACAACTATGTTAAAGGTTTAGATTTTTCTTTTGTTGTTTATATATCAAAAATATTCGTCCAATAGGGTGAATTTGTATCAATGTTTTATCTAACATTAGGCCAGCACTCCTTCGAGGATCGGGTTGACTCTCACGAAACTTGCGGTTATTTTATTATGTATTCTGCATCTATGTTTCCAAAAATAGATCTTTGCCCTTCCGGAAAAGAAAATCTGGATAAAACACTGGTGTGTATGTTTGTAAGAATATTTCTCCAAAAACAAATTACCCTATTTGGACAAGTTATTATATTGAATTTTCTATCGTTAGGGTATCATACATCTTTTAATTAAAATATTACTCTAGTTTTGTCATAACAATATCTATTTTCGTTATTTTTTATGAAGATATGGACAAAGTAGTTCCGCTCCTCTCTAGCTGTAACAATTTTCGTAAACTACAGAATTGATGAATACATAAACATGCAGAATAAATGAAATCTTAGCTCAGTAAAAAAAAAAAAAAAAAGGTAATGAACATCGAAGAGGAGAATATTAGAGGTCATGCTAGTCGTGTAAGATGTTTTGAGCTTATTGACACTACTAGAAAGTCATATCGTGTTTTTCTCTAGTATATATGTTACTAGGTGGAGAAATATAAGCAAAATTTTTTTCTCACCGGTTAGTATTATCCGATAGTGTTTCTAGCTGATATCAATTTAATTTCAGTTTAACTTGCTCAGTTTCTTTTCATTAATATTTTTCTTTCTCAATATGAATTATTTTGAGGAAAGATTCTATGAGAACAATTTCACGTAACTATACGAGGTTTTTGTATAGATGATTTTCGTTTAATCTTTATAACAACTAAAGAATGCATTGATATAGTTTGTTTTAAAATGTTTACAAACTTCAATTTTCTGCTAATTAAATTACTATTTTAAGAACAAGATTGTATTGGTGATGCTCTTCTTGTTTTTTTTAAAAAGATCTATATGTTGAATTAAAAAAGACTGATTGACAAAAATAAAGGCGACGAGAAAGTTTTGTCTATACGAAGGCTTATAGATAAAGATGTTCTCTACCTAATGGTGTATATATTATCAACTTCCACTGCGTACTCTTGATATGTTGATAGGTGACTCCATCGTCATCATATTTTACCAATCCAGGACGAAGGTGGAGCTATCTATCAATATGTCAACAGTACGCAGTGAAACTTGATAATGTATATGTCATTAGATAGAGAAAGTCTTTTTCTAGAAAGCTACATATATACTTTTCTGTAGTCAACACTCATCGAAAAACTAATAGTTGTTTTTTGATATTGTATATATTATCAATTAATAAGTCAAAATGAATTGAACAAAAAAAAACATTTATAAATGAAATGTATTTTTTGTTGAAAATAATGATAACATTGATAATAGTATTTTTGTTATTTTCAATTGTATTTAATATTCTTGTAGATTTCCATTGCACCCTCAATGAATTCTAGAAAATTATTTATTTATAATCATTATTTATAGGATAGAAAAAAAAACATTACATACGTTCATAAGTAACTTTGCAATTTTCATCTTGTTGAAATTTCTTATTAAATATTTCAATTTGATCTTGATTTAATTCTTTGCCTTTTTCTTTCATAACCTGTTCAAATTCTTGTTTATCCACACAACCATCGCCACTTAAATCTTTAATTTGTTATTAAAAAGAAAAAAAAAACCATAATTAAAAAAAATATTTGCTCTGGTTTTTTTCTGTTTTACCAAATGTATTAAATAAATCACGTAATCCAAGAGTACTTGTTGGAACATACTCATTCATCATTACTGTAAATTCTTCTAGAGTAATATCACCACTAGCTATGTATAAGAATTTTAATTAATTAAATAAAAGATAAAGAAAACATTTACTATCAGTATCAACTATTTTCATGAATGCACAAAGTTGTTCTTCTGTCTATGAATAACCTGAGACTGTTTCAACTAGTCGTTTAACTTCATCTTGTGAAATACGACCATCATGATTGGTATCAAATAAAGAAAATAGTAATTTTAATTCTCAAAAAGTAAAAAAAGTATAAGTTTAATTTCTGGAATTAAGAAAAAGAAAATAGTTTACCTAGAGCATCATGTGCAGCCATCTTGATGGAAATAGACTATAGAGTTTAAAAACAAATGCATAAGTGTTAACTATTGTGTTGGTTCTTATCTTGACTAACCAATTATATTGTTCTTTGTTTTGAGCAAACATTGAAAGATATGAATATTATAGCCAGTAAGAGACATTTTTTAAGCGAATAATTATTTCACTTTGGAGATCTATTCTTTATTTGTATTTGATAATATTATTTGACACATGGATTATAACGAATTTCAAAGTTCAATTCAACATTTATTTTATATTTATCTTAGTATTTAAGTACAAAAAAATTTATGTTTAAAAAAAAGCACTTATTCGAACAGAATTTAAACTTGAAACCTTGTATTCTATGTTAGTAAATTTATGAATGATAACATGGGACCGTCTCATTTCAGGTAGTTTGCTTATTTTTCATTATATGCGCCTTGAAACGAAAATGAACAATAATTAATTTTTCAAACGCATTTTTTCACTTTTTTGTCAATAGGCGCGCTATGATGAGAAAATAGAGCAATTTATTTTCTCGTAAGCAATGGATATTTTTTAATATGAATTTTATAATGCTTAAAAACTTTTTCTGTAATTTGCTCAATAGAGAACGTCTTATTCATATTTGTTACGAAGAATCTTATTGCAGATATTTTGTTTACTCTTTTTTTTATTGTTGTGGTCATTAAAAAAGATAAAAATAGTCATTTTTTCTATTAAATTCATTATGAATCGATAGATTTTACAAAATTATTTTAAAGTAAAACTTACTAATCCATCGGTTGTTAATGTCAAGAATAGTAAGGAACATTAGATTTAAATGAACTTTCGTTTATATCTCATTTTAAGCACAATAAGTGAGCATTAAAAAGCTATTATTTGATTCAAACTTGTTGAATGTTCATAAGATCACTTTCTAAAAGCTGATCGAATTTTCAATGAAAAATGAAAAGATGAAATGCTAACAAATATAACTATAAGATCCCTGTTGAAACATGTCAACATACTTCCAAAATGCCGCTGTTTTTCGTTTCACTTTCTCTACGAACACATCTAAAACTCAGTACTTTTTGTTGAAAAGATTTCAAAAAAGGAAAGCAAAGTAATATTTGTTCGAAAGTAAAACTGAAATTTCAAAACCAAACAACAGAAATCTCTTCTAAGATCCTTTAGACAATGCTTCTTTGCTTACAGGTAGCTCCTTAAAACCAATCTTTTGAGGGAAATTTTGTTTCCCATATTCAACATATTTAAAACAAAAACAGAATAAAAAAATAGCTGTCGCTTTGATTGAATAGCTGAGATGGTGCATTACAGGTATGAATACAGTTGATAATCGATATTGAATAACATAGACAATTACATTATCAATCAGTAGTATTTTTGAAAAAGCATGTTGATGTTCATTGATAAAGTGTTCTAAGTAATGAGTATTGGAACGCCTATTTCTCAATTCGATCAATTGATTGAAGCGTAACTTTTCTAACGAGATTCGTAGAAACACAGATCGTAATAAACTGTAATTATATTCAAGGATAAACGTATGGCGGTCAATTTTAGAAGTAAGGATCCGGTTTTTTACGAATCATTGATATCTCGATAATAGATATTCAAAGCGTGTTCGTATCGAATGTCTCAGCTTCAAGGAGATTCTTAAGTTATATAATTTCCTAAACAGTTTGATCTCTAGATCATTTGGTTTATATAGTTTAACAGTTTTGAATAAGTCATGTTCATAAAAAATTGTCGTGTTTTACCTTATATTTGCAAGGTTTGATGAAATCAGCATAACACATATAGCACCCACAATGTGATGAAGTTATACATATATTAGATATATTCAGGAAGATTGATATTTATATTCAAAAAATATTTTTGGCAAGATTAGTTTTGATAGAACGCTGGTACAGAATTTTTTCCTTTTTTTCCCCCTGCTCTTATAGATAATATCTCTACATCAAAATGAAAATAATCAAATTATGGTATTGTATTTCATATATGGTCATTGTCATACATTTTTTATCTCTATGAAAAGCAAGTATTTTTTTTTTTGTTTGATATTAATTTTATTTCAAAACTTTAAAGTACAATTTCTTTTATTATTATTTTAAAACTATAATGAAATTGTCTTTGTAATTGATCATGATATGTTCAATTTTAATTGAGACTGTTGCAATATTCATTGACACTTTCAACAAATTCTAAAATCATTACATAATATTGATAAATATTATTATTAAAATAGAAAAATAAATACATACGTTCATAGGTAATTTTACTAACTGCATCATGTTCAAATTTTTTATCAAATATATTAATTAAATTTTGATTCAAATTTTGATTCGTTTTCTTTACTTGTTCAAATTCATCTTTTTCAATAAAACCATCACCACTTTTATCTTTATATAAAAAAAAAATTAATTTAAAAAAGCGTTACTATGTTTTTTTCTCTCTTACCAATTGTTCGAAATATACTTTTCAAACCATATGCACCTTGTGGAACGTTATTATTTATAAAGGTTATAAATTCATCCATGGAAATATCACCACTATCTATAAAAATAAAATTGAGGTTGTAATAAATGAAATATCCGAGAAATACTATTTACTATCAGTATCAGCAAGTCTTAAATATTCAGTAACTTGTTCTTCTGAAACTGCAGGACCATCCGGATCAGGTGATTGAAGTAATTGTTTAAGTTCTTCTTTTGTTAATGTTCCACTATTATCAACATCGAATACAGTAAAAAGTAATTTTAATTCTATAGAAAAAAAAATCAAAAAATTAAGAAAACAAGTATATGAAGACATCATATACCTTGACTATTTTGTGTCGCCATTGAGAAAATAATGTGATATTGATTCAAACACACCTGTGGTTATATGTAATACTTTATATCTTATCTTATCAAAACCTTTGACGCAAATTCTTGAAAGCAAACGGAATATTAATATTGGTATTTATCTCGAACAGTTACGTCAATAACAGATTGAAGAGTTTTTTAGATAAAAAAGACAAAGGTTCCTAAAAAAGAAGCCTTGATCCTAATGCATTTGTTCCTTTAAACAATGAATTATTACTATGAGTACATATTGATAATTTCTCTTCTGAATAGACAAATAAATGTTATTATTTCATATGTTTTTTATCCATGTAAAGCTTTATTAAAAAAACGATGTCAATCAAACTATTATATAAATGTATTGTCCCAAAATATGGAACAAAAGATGATTGATAAGTTAAACAAATGTATAGGTTAAATTGAATTTCTGAGATTAAGTTTAGTTCATTGGTTGCAATGCTTAATCATTTCTCTTGAAATGATTTTTTTTATTAATTAAACACCATATTTGAATGTTTGTCAGAGATAATTATACACTATATAGCGCAGTAACGGATATAGGAGAGGAAATAGAGACTTTTGCTGCTTCTTCTTTTAAAATCTATGCATACTTTATTTAAGCATCTTCGTATTTCAATAAGATTGCATTTCTCACTATTTTTAAGTTCACTGTACTTGTACTCTGAAATAAACAATTCCAATAAAGAGCAACAAGTTATATATGTATGTACTGTGTAGTGTTGTTAATTTTATCAGATGCTCTTTCTCTTGTTAGATATGAATTCTATCCCTGTGTCAAAATTGATGAATATTTATCGAGTTTAATATTAAAATAATCAATAGTCATGTTCACGGTTAATTTATAATTTTTTTTTTTTTTTTTTATTGATGATGAATAAATATGAGATTTACGAAGTAGTTCATGTTCGATTCACCAATATCTTCTTTCTGAACATCAAAGTTCTTTTTCAAATTTATGTAACATTATTCATCACAATGATTGCAGGTGAGCTGAGCTTTTTCGATATTAAAGGTGATAAAATCATATCTTCAAAGTAGGAGAGGTGAAAAATCATCTGCATAACCTAACTATGACGCATGTGCGCTCCATGATTTTTCATTGATATCGAACAAGTTATCAACAGCTTTGCAAAAAATCAAACAATAGAAAAATAGAATTTCTTCCTTGATCGATCTTTTATTTGTTTTTGTTTCCATAGATCACAGCACTTATTTGAACAGTTTTCTTATGTCTACTTCTGATATAATGCTATAATATGACTAACAGCTCATAGAATTGGATTTATGACAAGTTTGGAAGATAAGGTGTAATATAAACTTTTCAAATTTATATATTTGATATGTATGACAATGAATTTAAACAGAAATTTCGATTTCTTCATAATTTTTTGCATTTTTAATATAGTGCATAAGTTCAATAGATGTCGAGTTCGAAACCAGTAATTTGAAAATGAATATCTGCTTCTTTTAAAAAAGTGCACGAATAAGAACAATTAATTGAATGTCTATTAGCAAATTTTTAAATAAAAAAAATGTAAGAAATACGTCATAGTGATATAAAAAAAGATAAGAGAAATTTCATAGACTCATAAAATGAATCATTACTTCTATTTGTTAATGGCCGCCATCTTTCAAAATCAAGTTTAATGTCCACAGCAATTTCGAGACTAAAGAACTATAGAATTACTTGCTTTATTCTATATATGTGGACATAATCTATTGTTATTTTCATCATTGATGTATGTTCATTAATATACTCATAATCTATTATATACAAACATCAGCAGTCAATCTCATGATTTGTTTTACCATAAAGAGTCATCGATCAAGGACATTTAGATAAAAACTGAATTTTCGATTCCTTCTCGTTCAGTTTCCAAAGTTATTTCCGAAAAAGTCTGTTTCAACATATATACAGCAATTTTTTTCATGCGAAACGACTGATATATACGACTTTTTCTTAGATGATTCGTCATTGAGTTCTGAGCAATAGCTGTTTTCAAAATATTGATTGAAAGTGTTTTAGTTTGAAATTTTTTTGCAAAAACTTCTCAAAGAAAATAACAACAAAAAAAAATCAAAATAAGTATCCAGACGCCTAGATACGTCTCATATACCTCTATCTCTTTTCCTAGCTATCATCGACGATTAATATCGTGAAAGATAACAATAGTTAATGAATTCATTTTATTTTAACACAGATATACGTATTCTTTTTTATATTAGAAAGTATATGGAATTCTTGTTACTAAAAAACTTTTCAAAGTGTATTAATTATCAAAATAATTCACGGAATAACATGTAATTAAAATTTCAAATCTACTCTAATTATGTTTAAAGTCGAAGTAAAAAGTCTCTATATATGAAATTTATCAATACACTATGTTGACTTCTTTTGTAGTTTATGTAGGAAGATTGACTCATAATCTTATGGTTTTGTTTATTATTATGTTAATGAATATAACTCCATTCACATATGTTCAATATGTGATTATTTAAACAATACATAATCGACATATTGCTTATGTCTTCTGTCATAATAAGCAATCTTCAAAGTTTATTACTAGATCAAGACCAATAGCGTGATCGTAAATCTGCTTTCATCTCTTTAACACTGACTTTATGATACTTAATGACTTTAATTAAAAGAATTCAAGCCCAATTAACCAACAATTACTGAATGAAACGTAATGGCTAATCTTCTTTGTTATTTGTCATCAATCAAAATGGACTTGCCATTTGACATCTGTAATTTGCTGTTGTTGTTATTTCTTTTGTAACAAAAATTTTCAATTTAAATGTTTAAATTTAAGATTAAAATATTTGACAAAAACACAAACTTATTTATTACTTCTCAATCAGAGTACGAGTTGAACTAGTTGCTAATATTAGACAGCACTTTCATCTTCTCAGATCAATTCCCAATTCGTAATCTACTGTTAGATGATGCAATTACTCAAGCTTTCACATATCGTGCCTTTCAGAAAAATTAAATTCAACTCCTTGACTCCGATCGAATTTCTTAAAACGATGTTGAATCTATATTTAGACATTATATATTCCTTCTACTTTGCTTTCATGTCATACAATTAGCTGAAAATTAATAATATAAATGTACTTTATTGTAACGTATTATTACATTCAGTTGTTTAATAATAAAGTTGAAATGAATACAGAAAAAGAACCAATAATTTATGGTGAAGGTTGATTGACATCATGCCGTAATCTTATCCAACTTAAGAAATAAAATAGAATAAAATAATTTATTGCTCGTTCAACTAGTTCTCTAATATAATCTAAAATTAAAACAATAAATAAAGTTGTATAACAAATATTCTTATTGTAAACAATCGTATAGAAACTTGAATATTTTACCTACATTAATAGAAAATAATTTCATGTCATCATAAAAAAATTATTAAAAAAATATTTTGCATGTTGACGAGTAATCATAAAAATTAACACTAGATCATTTAATACTAGTGCATATTATCGCGTAGTCCAGGGATCTGACAAGATATTTTCGTTTTAAGAAGTAAAAAAAAAGGTTTTGCTGTCGAAATGTTCATTATTGAGCAAAGACAAACAAAATAAATTCATTCAAAACTTTATTTCTTTCCTACATTAATAATCCGTGTATAAACATGCAACAATTAATAGATAAGATGTCGCTAGCTTACATTATATATATATTTATATAAATGACAATAAATTATTCTATTGGCTAAAATACGTCTCAGTATATTTGTGTTATAAACACACGAGATTTGAAAAATTTTCTTTGTCTTACTGGTAATCATTATTTCCAAACGATTGAAAAAGAGAATTGTTTTGTTTTTCTTATAATTTGGCATTATCATTAAAAAATGCCATTATCAATTGAATCTGAAATTGATCTTCTGTATCATCTATCAACAATGTCTGAACATGTTTTACCGAAAGGACTCTTTTATCTTCTATTATGGAAACGTCTTAATCAATCTAGCATTCCACCTGCTTTTTCATTCAATGAAATGGTTGAACATCTTCGTACATTGTAAACACATTTTTCAAAGAAATTTTTCATTTTATTTATTTATTTATTTAATAAAAATAGATATGATGAAAGTGTTTTTGATAATCCAGAATTACCTGAATCAAATGATCATGATTTTCAATGGAATCCAATTAATATTGATCAACAACAAACTGAAAAAGATTTATCAAATAAACTTGAAACAACACCACCACCAACAACAATAACAACAACACCTCAATCTTCGACTAAAACACGAAAACATCCAACATCTCCATCATCAATTACAACTAATAATGATATTAATCGTCGTAGTAGTCGTCAAAAAAATAATATACAAACAAAAGATGAAGAACAACAGCAACAAATAAAAGTTGAAAAACGAAAATCTATTAAGGATTCATCTCGAATATCAACACGATCAATACCTAATAATGATTCCATTGGTACACGTTTACGAGGACAAAAATAGAATTATTCCAATTTTTGTATATATATATTATTTTTTTTTTTTTTTTTTAAAAAAAAAAAAAAAAAAAAAAAAGAATCCAGAAATAAAACAAAAAAAAAATACGAAATCAATTATATAGATATAGGAAATGATCTGTTATTCTAATGAATTTATATTGTAGAAATAAATCTATACATATAAATTATGTCTCGTACGACAAATCAAACCGATCTACCAATACCACCAACACAACTTGATCATGATGAAAAACGTGTATTAGCTGAATGTGAACGAGAATCACTTATCTATCGTAGTATACCATTAGGTCTTATATCATTTTTTGCAACACAATATGCTATGACAAAAAATTTAATAACACCACAAGGTAAATGGATTAAACTTGGTGCAAGTTTATTTCTTGGTTATATTATTGGCAAAGTATCATATGCACCAACATGTCGAAATAAAATCCTTACACAAATTCCAAATAGTAATTTAGCATATGCTATT